TAAAACCACCTTCAACCAACCAATCATCGCATTAGATGAAGTAACTTTAAACAACGCACCCAACCGTTATTCAAGTTACTTTAGACATTATTTAAGCCTGAGAAATTTTTAAACAATGAATTTAACCCTGGAATTGCCAAAAAAGGTGCAAAGCACAATAACTGCTACAGTAACTATTTCTATATGATCAACACAAAATTGACTAGTCCAACCTCTAATTTATAAGGGGCACTAATTCTTAAAGAACTACATTTTGACCAATAACAGGAATTCGGGCATTTCTATTGGCTTACAACAGTGCCAATGACTGGTGTCTTTGCCGAAGTTAACTCTAAATATCCCCCTACTTTTGAGGTGTTTTGTTTGGAAAATGGGACATTAGGACATGATAAAGTTTGTGAAAATCCATGTTTTGTTTCCACTTGAATGATCAGTTTTCAGGAGTCAAAACCCATCCACCTGCTTCCATTTCCCACCAGCGACTCCAAAATACTGTATGTCTCTTAACTTGGACTCTACGTTACACACATATAATAACAGGTCGTGCAGTACTAAAATGGCCCAGAGGAATAGGGTGAAGCTGCTTTGGTGCATTCGTTTGAGACCATCGCTTGCGGACGCGACCGACAGGGTGCAAACATATTTCGTTGTGTTGTCGTCGTCTGTGCCTTGTTACAGTACTTCTTTATGTCAATTTCGTTCAGTAGTACATATAGTACTACTAGTACGTTTCAGTGACCCGTTATAGGTCGAATAAACGTATTTAACCTGCTGACGTTATCGCACGTACTGGTATCAATTTACCACACGACTGTGGTATATGGCTTTGGTTGGCATCAACCTTTATTCTTTTCGAGAAATATTATTCCTTGGTTCGTCTAACTGTAGACACTTCGCTTAGAATAATAACCCTTCCCAATGGTCTCAGAATCATAAATGATGTACTAGTACACTTTAAACGTAAGGACCCAATACTTATTTCAAGGCACTTGACCACATGCCAAGTGCCATGGCAACACTATGGACAGTCCATGCATGGCCAATCAGCGCCGCCAATCAGAATGGTCACGAATAATTCCCTGAGAGCAACAGTTTCACGCTTGCTTACGCAATCATTTCCCATCAAAAGAACCAGTAGCCCTGTAACCTCGGAACCCCCAGATCCCTTGTGATGCTATACCCGGCATTATGTGCATCACCAGTGGTTAGCTATAGCTAACCACTATAGCTAACCACTGGTGATGCACATAATGTGGTTAACTGCATTTCAGTGGTTAGCTATAGCTATAGCTAACCACTGAAATGCAGTTAACCCCTAGCTAAAATGTGTGGTTTTGGTTTATACTGCATTGGACTATGCCATAATAAGAACAAGTGCAAGGGATGCGTGAGCAACCGTGGAAATGTTGCTCTCAGGACTCGTCACCCAACGCAACTAATGTAGGTAAGGTAGTATAAGCAAAACGGATAAGCAGCTTCAATCTGTCATTTTGTATTCTATGTTTTCATGACATATGATCGATAGTAAATTTAGTCTTTACGGGTATACTAAATCACTATATGTCACGCGTGAACCAGAACTGGAGCAGTGCGCCAAACACCCTTGACATCGATCAGGCACATTCGTGCAACGCAGCCGCTTGGCGAGGGCATTCGAGGTCTTCCACCCGCCCCTTCCTATATTATATCACACACATCAAGACGACCCAAGATACATGGTAACGAAACGATTGCCACTGCCTGTGCCCAAAGGCTTCTTTGTGTGCCCACCGCTCAACCCCATCGCCGTCAATGTGCTGAAGCAACGAGCGCAAGTTGGGTTCTCAGACCTGCTCGCGGACTGCCAACTGGAGGCAGAGACGATTCGGTGGAAACTCGACTCGGACATTGATGGGTTGGTCTTGTACAGTGGAAGCCACAGTCACAGCGTAGGAGCCACCAGCTCGAACGCGGCGTCGATTTTGGCCGTCACCACGATCCAAGCGACGATCGACGAGCTTCCGTCCATGCTTCGCTTCGACAGCCACGACCTCTTTGCAGACTTTTGCGCGTCCTATTACACGGACGTTGTCGACTGTGCGTCGTTGTATACGCTTTCGGCAACAGAATCGCCAGAGTATGTCGGCATCAAGTGGGAAGCGCTGCAGAGTCCCGTGCAGGGATTTATGAAATCTCGAGATTGTTCCGTCGTCGAGGTGGCATTCTTCTCCACCATCCATTTTATGCTTATGTTGTTGTGATTTGTAGTGCTCCAAGTCGTTTACCCAACGTGATGGCGTGCGCGGCTACGCCCGAAGCGTCGAGTCCGTAGATATAGCGTGCGTCCCCGACCTAAACGCGACCTTTGGCCTCGTTCGCATGCAAATTGGTCGGTGTGGCTTTGTATTGAAAGAAACCCGCCGACTGGGGGTACTACAGGCCATGTTCCTCCTCCAAGCGGACCTCAAGGGATCGATCCCGCAGTGGATGATTCGACTGGTGCTTCGAGGGCGTGCCAAGGCCTTGGCCGGACTAGACGCGTACTTCCGCCAAAGACGCCTCGCGGCGGTGGCTATGTTGAGTCCATGTGACGTGGTGCCACTGACTAAGCGACAGCGTTGCGCGGTATGCCAGGATAAACTGCAGGACCGGATCTCAGCCCGGTTCAATTGCTCCGTGTGCGGCGAGGTACATTCAACAAACATCGAATCGTTGATCCGTGTGTGTTTGAGTACTATACTGACATTGAGTACTAGTAGTACCTAATCGGACCGCGTTATTGAGTACGCTCTCTCTTATCGAGTAGTAGCATTGTCCTTTTCCCCAAAATTTGGTTGACTTTTGTGCTGATTGGCCAAATCTATCATATATCGTTGACTTTTGTATGTAAAGATCGTCCCGTACCACTCTAGTTTCAGTGACACACTAATTCAGTGTTGAATGAACGGATTTGGTTGGCTACTTGATTTGTGATCTCGGTTTTGATTGGTCGATCAATTGTCGGACCCCACTCCAATGTCAAATCGACTTGACAATACCAGTGGTACCTAATCTGACTGCATCGTGAGGTTTGGCTACTTTTGTCGCTACTACATTGAGTACTTTTGTACCGACTCGGGTTGAACTAGGTGGTGTGCTCGACGTGCCAAAACGTGTGGTACCTCAAAGATCAGCACCGAAAAGCGAGTGTGTGCACTCAGTGTTCAGTGGAACCGAAAGGCCCAGCCCGCTTCCACCGAGTGTCTATCACATCCAAGTCGGGCACGAGTTTATCCCACACTTCGGTGCTGGACGACGAAGCAGGGTACCTCTGCACCGGCGTGGACCTTCAGTTTGCGGACGCATATGCTGCATTGGACACAATCGTGATGGAGAGTGTTCGAGGTCACAACAGCAATCGCCGCCAATCCGTTCCGGTGGGTCTCCCTACGTGCAACAAGCCGACGATCCGGCCGACGTCGTCGTCGGCCCCCCCTCTCGTGCACTTGTATACCCCCCCACCCCAGCGTGGAAATGTCACATCGAACGACTCCAAGGTCGACTTGCTGCTCCAACAACTCAAGGAACTCGACTTTGACGATGCCGTGCTAGCGCAGTTTCAAGCGTCGCGAGTAGGGAGTAGTGACGTGTGATGTTCTGTACTGTAGTACCGTAGCCAACACTTCCATGTGTTTGTTCAGTAGAGAGTGTGTATGTGTGGTAGATTTGAAACGTCAGATTTAGTTTGCAGTAGTTGATGTGTTGGGACCAAAGGACGGACAATCAACGAATCCTGGGTGGCATACCGGTATACTAGTAGTAGTACTAAGTACTTTGGAAAAGGGCGGCAAATGCTTTCCAAGACGCTGGCCTAACAGGCATATCAGTCGACTCTTAGGCATCTGATTATAAGGGCATCCCCACCGGTGCGACTGTATAATCAGACTGTAAAATACCGTTTTACAGTTCCTGTATTTTGATTTTTGTCAACCCCAGCGGTAAAACTGTAAAACATCCGAATAATGTTTTTATCCGGAAATGAAAGCCAGGTACGCACGTTTGTGAAGGCATGATGGTGTGGGTGGACGACGTTGATGACATGGATCAAGCTTGGGAGATTCTTGGCTTTTATCAGTATTCTGCGCGCCCTAAAGGCTCTACTGCCAACCGCCAGCCAAACCTACCACGAGATAGCGAGACTGCGCAGACTCGGATTTACCTACTACTTTGGTCCCAATCCAATCTACGGCGAAGCCAAGTTTCGCCGTCGTTTTCGAATGGCCAGACCGCTGTTTGAACGAATCATGGACGATGTGGTGATGCGTGATGAGTACTACCCTTGGACACATCTTGAGAGATGTTGATCCATGACCGGACAAGCTGGTAGTCTTCGTCGGTCGTGAAGTTGGGGCCTTGGCTGATTCCATTTCTGAACCAACTGATTATTGACTCCATAACGCACATGATTGGACAAAATTATCTATTGATAGCATGTTATTGGCTAATTCGTCAAAACTGTATTTTACAGTCGCGACTGTAAATCTGGCCGATTTGGCGTCTCGCGGTAAAATTTTACAGTTTCCTGTATTTTACAGTCGCCCGGTGGGGTTGTCAAAACTGTAAATAATCCGGATAGAACTGTATAATACAGTCGCACCGGTGGGGTTGCTCTAATTCTCCAATACAGTAGTCCCCCGGAATAAGGAACCCACCATAAATCTATATCCTCTCAGAAAACATAATATTGCGTGCAAATCAGTCATAAACTCTGAGAGGTACATTCAACTTTTAAATTATGCAAATAATATAACACTTGTTGGCGACACTCACACTTGGAACTCAGCATGCCGTCACCGTTGTCGCGGCTACGATTGACAATCGAGCAGAAGCGTACACTGTTAAAGCAGCATGCGTCACGCGCTGCCATGAAAAGAGTTGAGTTGCGTCGATGGGCTCGTTTAGCATTTGGCCTTTCACGTGACCCTCTAAATTCGGCAATCGACAATGTCACGGTGGCAACCTCCTGAAGACAAAACACAAACACGTTTCATTCTTTTTAAAGGTTATGCATACTATCAATCAACTCATAAACCTCCTTGTCAATAATACCAGTATGGCGCCAACAATTTACAATAGTGACTTGCGTCACACATTGCCAAGCCTCCTTGGCCCACTCCAACGCTTCCAACAGACTAACTTCGAGCAGTGCTCACGAGTGACGCGAAATTCTTTTATTCAGTTTCGTCAGCCGTTTCAACCAGCTTGTCAAATATTCAACAAGATGCAATGCTCGCCACACACCAATCCTATGACGGATGGACATCGTCATGGTCATCTGTAAGCTAGGATATCAACCCCCTCCTGAATTCGAAAATGATGTCGATTTTTCAATCCGAGTACATTGACCAATCAGAAGCAAGGAACCCTACCGAAAATACCTTTTTAGTTTTATACCTGAGCAGTAGTGATACCTCTTAAAACGTATCGGAATCAAAGGTTCCCTATTCTGGGGGACTACTGTATATAAAACCAAAATCCAAGCGTGCGTAGTAAGTACTGCAGTAAGTACATACTAGCCAGTATGGTGCTCGTCACCTGGAAACTTTCACAAAACCGTCTGCAGCTATTCATACTATTAATAACGTTAGTACAATGTTTATAGTTAAGTTAGTACTTCGAAGTAGTAGTTCACTGCTACAAGTAGTGAACTACTAACCGCTGTATAACGTAGAAGGTCAGTTTATGCCTTTTTCTGAGAATCGTCGAATTTCTTTCGAAATCAATTTGATCCTGACAGTAAAACATAGGTGACAAACGAATTCTTCGAATTACTTTGAACCAAATTTTCGAAATATTAATTGGACAATATTGGGGTATGATCGAGATCCACACTCACAGTTAGTTTAAGATTTTTTTATGTGAACACCATTTCATTCTGTGTAGCCAATTATAATACAACCGCCATAATTTTTAGCCAATCATACTGCTTTGCTCGATTTGGTGGTGATTATTTCAATCACTCAACAGTGGCAAATTTGGGTGAAAAATACTATAGAAATCAACACAAATTTCAATATACAAAACTACAGTAATCAGCACGTGGACTTCCCGAGAGTACTACTGTACCTCCGTACGAAAATGATTGACTTGCCCTTTTCGAGCGTTGGACAAGTGTACCTCGGCCAAAAAGGTTATTGCATAGGTATACTTCCAAATAGAGAATTTCAGATTTTACTCACAGTTGTCAATGCAGAGCCAGGAATGATGAACATTTTCACTGTATTTCCTCATTATTTTTATGAGGTTATACACTGTTTCCTCATTATTTTTATGAGGTTATACACTGGAGTATCTGAATATCGCCATTTTTCCAAGAAAAGTTGGCAAAATCAAAATATTCCATTTTTCGGGATTTTGTACGTCTGGATGCCACCAAATTTCATTACCGTATACTATTAATAGTAGTGTAATAGTGTATATGTATTGCGTTAATCTATTGCGACTCCTGTAATAACTGATATTTACTTGTGAATATGTTGAATATACTTCAAAGTTGTATGACACTATGGATTAACAAAATTTTGAGAACGAGTGTCGGCCGGTTGTGAAATATCACCTGTCGCAATACATATACACTATACGGTACATTATGCCACCATTTTCTTGAGAATCGGGTGTTTTATGGTATAAAAGAAATGGACCGATTTGGTCCAACTTTTTTATGGAGGTTTGTGTTCTCGTTGCAGTCTTGCACTTCAATCGGAAATCGAATACTAATTCTTCCAAAATTCAGCGGACAACTTTGGAGATACTTCTTTTGTCCTTTTTTAATGGGATGTCAGACTTTGGGAAACATTTCAAGACTTGCCAAAACGGTTTATGGCATAACTTTTTGAGGTGGCATCCACACCAGCTCTCAGAAATTGCCAAACTTTCGAAGATTTTGGCCATATTTTTTACATCCAGACTCACCCTTAGCTTTATAAAATATTTTTCTATTAGGTTTAGAATCTATTTTGCAGTTCTCACGGTGCATTCACAACAACCAAACGGCTGGAGGAAATCACGAGTTGAGCACACAATACGTTACGTTAGTCGAGTAAGCATCCCCCCACGACACACAACATATCTATCTCAAACGACAATCGTTTGACTTTGTATTTTTAATCGTTGGACTTTGTATTTTTCACGCAGCATGTGGCACCACCACCCCCATCTTGGGGTCGTTCTGGGTGTCCAAATTGAGTTGCTTGAGGTGGCTGTACAGTTCCAAGAGGGAATGCGATGCCGTGGCATTCAAATGAAACGATCCGTCCGGTTGAAGACAGGATTGCATGGACTTTATGATGGCGGCCAAGTTCAGTTGCACCGTGCTAGTAGGTGCTAGGGGTTGCGTTTTCAATTCAGCACGGTTGTTTGACGAGTCGTCGGAAGAACGAAGCTCCACAAACCGAGGGCTGCTGCTGTCGTCTCGAGTTTCGATCGTTGGGAGCCAAGTACACACCTCGATGTTGTCACCTCTGTGGCGTTGTAATAGGGGGTCGTCACGTCCAGAGTGCATCCACGGCATCTCGTGGTGAGGGACCTGCCGCGATGGGTGGTGCATCGACTCACCCAGTGCCGTCGGTAAATTCGTCCAGGCACTACATGAAGATGGCTGCGTTAAAAGCTGATTTTGTTTGTTGCCATGCAAAAGAGCATGCCACGAGAAAGGACAGTACCTCGAGGACACAAAAGTCGCGGTGCTTCATCACGGGCGACG